AACCTTTAATAATCTTTCCTCTCACACTTTTGTCTTTGCAGCTGCAGCAGCAATAATAAAAGAACAACAGCAACAACAATGATGTACTGAGCAAGCCAGCAATAAACAATAAGGGTATTCCTATATATATATATATATATTTTATATATATATATAAAAACAAAAACCCCCAAATGCAAACTCAATGAATTATTCGGGCGTAACGTGTAAAACCAACAATTAAAACGACAAAAACCGAACAGGGTCCACGTGGTGTTCAATTGAATAATTAAGCGAGCAGCAGAGAGGCGAAGGGGCAACAATAGCAACAGCAATTGTTGCAAGTGCAACAGCAATCGCAGTAGCAAGCAGTCAACGCGTGCCCCCAGTCAAAATGGCGGCACGACGTTGCCCGTTGGCGCCCCCTGGGCGAGGTGGCCAACCGCAAAGGCAACGTAATACGAGTATCCGGCGAACTACATCAACAGCAACAACAACAGCATTGCTGCTGTCGTTGGCCATGTTGTTGCTGGCAACAGCAGCAACTGCAGCAGCCGGCAGCAGCAGCAGCAGCGGCAGCAGCGGCAGCCACGAGCAGCACGCCAGCAGCTACGCCGGCCTGAGTGCAGAGAATGCGGCCAGAATGTTGGCGGGCACTCCCGGGGAGACGGAGAGCAATGTGCGGCTTGGAGTGGTCGAGGGAGGTGCGCACAGCGAGCTGTCGCTGGTGCTGCCCCATGATACCTATCCGGGCTTTAGCATCAAGAAATTTAAGACGCGTCCACTGCAACTGGCCAACAATGGCAGCGCTCATCGTGGCGGCGGTGGCGCGACGGCTGCTGCCTATCACATGCTGGACAGCGATTACTCCAAGTACTTCACAGTGCTGGACGATGGCGTGGTGATGACCACGGCGGACATATCGCCGCTTGTGAACCGGCCCGTGCAGCTGGTGGTCGTCGAGCAGACGCCGAATGCCACCAATACGCACAATCTGCAGCTGTTCGTGATGCATCGCAAGGACATGCTGCGCTTCTCGGGCTCCCTGCTGGACGCCAGCGGCGAGGTGCGCGAGAATCATCCGGCGGGCACACGTGTGCGCGGCGTGCCCCTAATGCAGGCCTTCAGCGGCTCCATTTTGGACGAGGAGCTGGCCAAGCCGAAGAAGGTGCGCTACACCATCATCGATGGCAACGAGGACGATGCCTTTGCGCTGCAGGAGCGCCGGGCCAATCAAAATGTGCAGGTCAATGCCAAATCGCTGACGATCGAGGGCGACGACGAGTCGGGCGTGTGGCTGGTCACGAATCGTCCATTGGATCGCGAACAGCGTGCCCACTATGATTTGTCCGTGGAGGCCTCCGATGTGGAGGGACTGGATAAGACGGTGTCCAAGATACAGATAACTGTGCTGGACGAGAACGACAATCGGCCCGTGTTCAAGTCGCAGGACTACAAATTCGCCATTGCCGGCAAGAAGTCACAGAATATGGAGAGCAACAACAGCGTTACCTGGGAGCGTTTCGCCATCCTGGGCAAGGTGGAGGCCGTCGATGCCGACGGCGATAAGATTGCCTATCGCCTGAAATCGCCCAGCAATGTGGTCATCATAGTGCCGCAGACGGGTGAACTGATGCTCGCCGGCGAGCCAACGTCCAATGAGCTGCTGCTCGAGGTGATTGCCCATGATCTGCGCTATCCCAGCCTGTTGAGCGCTCAGCCGGCGAAGGTGCTGGTCGAGTTCTTGGCGCCTGAGCCCGTGTCGTTTATAATGCAACACCTGGAGCATGATGCCATCAACGAGCATTCGCATCATCGTGAGAAGCGACGCGTGACACGGGCTGTGCGGCCCACCAAGCGCATTGAGTTCACTGAAGCCGATGGCGATACGGAAGGCAAGTCTGTGTTTCAGCTCGAAAAGGAAACGGACAAGGAAACGTTCAAAATACGCGACGATAATCCCTGGGTGACGGTCGAAACAAATGGAGCGGTGCGCGTCAAAAAGAAGTGGGACTACGAGGAGCTTGGACCGGATAAGACTATTGATTTTTGGGTCATCATCACGAACATGGGACACAATGGTGAGTGTGAAAATTAATTCACTATATACGTACATGTACTCTCAGTGTTGTAAAGTGAACTTTTAGTGCTGGGCATTGCTTTCATAGACGACAGTTTGTCTCACTTTATTAAGCTTATTTTTACACAATCAACTACTCTTATATAAACCTTTACCATACAATCATTTATCGATTAACATATATCGATATTTTTCGAAATTTATATTGCCAAAAATCCATAATTTCTTATATTGCTCATCAATTCAAATATCTCAGCAAGCTGTCAGCAATTTTAATGGCATTTTCATCGATAATTAATCGATTTTCCAGCACAGCATTTAGTCGCAATACGTAATTCTGTACATTCAAATGGGTTGCCTTGGTGATTTTGTAATTTTGTTGTCATACACAGACTTGCGTCGCATAATTAAGCATTGACATATTTAAATGTCTTGAGGCATGATGAAAATTGAAGCAACAAGCGAGAGAGATATAAATAGACCGAACAGACGTGGCTAAACTTAGGCCAGACAATCGATGAAGCCAGCTCATTAATGGCTAATGATATAGGGGCTCTCTGGCTCTCTGTCGAGAATTTCAAATGAATTTGGGCTGTGAAAACAATTAAGTGACATTTTCCAAAGCCAAAAGTAATTAAGAAACGAAAATGGAAAATATCTACGTAAGAGGAATTTTTCACTCGGCAATTATGATAGGTTGTTGCTCGCATGAGCTGCCTGCCTCTGACCACATCAATTAAATGAAAAGGAAATGAGAATGAGTGAATTGAAGAGAGAGAGGGGGGAGAGGGAGAGGGAAATGAATACAACAAAGCTTTAGTTCAATGAAAACTTACAATTAAGACGCAGAGCAGTAATTTGATTGGCAAGGAGCTGTGCTCTGTGCGGCATGGATATTCAAATATTTGGTTGTCATGACAAGTAATTACGCTTCAAGCGAACTGCAAAGCAAAGCGATGGGAGCAGCTGTGTCAACATATTCGGCCATTGCTAGGGCTGCTGCTGCTGCTGCTGCTGTTGGCCAGTTATGTCAAGCGTAGCTCAATGTGCAAATATTGAAGCGTTCTCAGCATGGAAATACACAAAAGGATACAAACTGAGCAGCCACGATGAGCAGAGCCAATCAAGTGAGCCGAGTGCTAACTGAATGCCTACCTGACTGACTGACAGACGGACTGACTGCCTGCCTCTCTCTCTCCCACTCTCTCTGTGTCTATAAATGTCTTTATGTTTCGTTTGTTGTATGTCCATTGCAATTCGTCATGCCTGCACTTTGACATGAGTCGAAAAAAGTTCAACTAACTGGCAGACAAGCTCATGAATTGTTGAAAAATATGCATTCACTCTGTAGCTCAACACAATCAGCCATGTTACAGTTTAACACAATGTTGACTGGAGTTTGTTTTACAAGATACCCTGTATAAAAAGTATGTGAATGAGTTGTACTCAGTTGAGGAACAATATGTGGCAGATGAAGCTGATGAAAGATAAAAGACAAACATTTGCACATCATATTAGAGACTGGGAATGGAAACTATATTTTGCATATATGTACATATGTTAACTTTTCATATAGTCTGAGTAAAATCTGACCTGAAGAAGTTTACTCTATTGGTAGACAGTTCATGTCTTGACTTTAATTATCTACCAATGCAAATATAAGATATATTTTATTTACTTTTATTTATGCTTAAAGTATACTTGATATATTTGAATATATTTTATATATTTATGATATTACATTTGTATATTTATATATATAAATATATTTTAAATACACTTTAATATATTTAATACAATATATTAATATTAAATTTTTTCCTTTACAACATTAAACTTCTCTTACTAAAGAATATCTCCCAGTTGATCACATTCCAAAAACTTCAATTTAATATGTTTTTCTTTCTCCATTTGTTGCACTTTTTCCGCATTGCAATTGCTAATTGTGAACGGCAGCCCAGGCTGAATGTCTGCTCTGGGATTGCGCCTGGTGTTTGGGGTTAGGCTGTGCCCTCTCCATATTTCCCCTTCTCCCCCTCTCTCTTTCTCTGTTTCGCTCTGTTCATCTGTCAGTTAATTAACAAGTTTTCATAAATCCATTCATTTTGCAACTGCGTCGCACTTCATCTGTTTCATTTGCGCGGATTTCCATTAAGTTTCTTATTGATTTTGTTGCATGTGAAAGGAGAATGAAATTCTCGATTATGTATGCGAATCTTAAGTACTCGACAAACAAAAGTTTCAGAGTTGCAGGTGAAATATAAACTTCAAGCAGTTTTAATCGGGATATAATGCAGTCGTTTCTTACCAACACTATTAGTGAAATGAAGAGATTGAATATGCTGCAATTTGCATTAAGGCTTTCATTTCATTGTTGTGCATTACTTGACATCAAGTACTTGCACAACACTGAAGTTTGAGTGTATTTTTTTATTATTAGTTAACATTAAATTTTTGCAGCTACAAAAGTTTACCAACTCCATTAAGTATTAAGTCTATAAAGTTAAAGAGATTCATCAAAAAACATTCAAGCATTTTTCTCATTTCATTGGTATGGCATTACTTAATACATGCTGCTTTTACAACACTGAATTTCGAGCAAAGTCTTTAGTAAGTCAGCGCAGAGCACGCTTTTAGTGCTATGCGAGTGCAAATTATTTAAGGAATTGCAAAGTTTTGTGGGTTGTCTTAGAGCTCTACATACTTCATGGCATTCCAAACTAAACGTTTACCCACACTGGTCGTTCGTTAAGTGGCTCAATTTTCGAAAATAGTCAGCAAGCCACTTGAGAACATGTTCGAAATTCATTATCCTTATCCCAAGCACTTGCATGCTGAACCCAATCAATGGTGCGCAGCTACAGAGCAAGTAGTATATCTCATTTCTAAGAGCGGAACAGTAGAAGGGGATGGTGTTAGGGGAGGGGGTGCTTGCCAAAGAATTTCGTATGCGTTGCACATAGAAGTGATTGTTACGGTTGCTGCCGCTTGCAACTCGAGCTCATGTATGTCACGCACAGACCAACAACAACAACAACACAAATATATATGTATGTGTGTGTGTGTGTGTGTGCGAGAGGCCACTTGTGTGCGCCAGGACGTAAATGCCAGATAAACATAATTCATTTAGCAGGACAGCGACAGACAGGAAAACTATGAAATAAAAAAGGAGACAAAAAAAAAAAAAACAAACACTTGATAATGCGTTGCACTTGGCTTGGAGTTTAGTTGCTTTTCCTGGGAAGCTAGAGTAGAAAAAAGAAATGCACGACAATATTTTTCATTCATTTAAAATGCTACGCCAATACACACAGCGAAGAGACTGAGAGAGGGCAAAAAGAGATGGAGAGCGAGAGACTTGAGAGAGAGCTGCGGCAATGGAAACTAAGTGGAATGAAATTAAATGAAACGAAATGAAATGAAATGAAATGAAATGAAATGAAATGAAATGAAATGAAATACTGAGCAGCTGCTGAGCAGGCGCAGTAGCAAATGAGTTTTGCAAGAGTTGCAAGAGAGAAACAATGAGAGAGAGAGGGAGAGAGGGAGTGCACGAGCGAGTGGGCTGCACAGGGGTTGAGTGGAACAGACGTGGGACGCGTGCGAAATCCAACAGGAAAACGCTCGTAACAATTAGAACTGCTACACCAGCCAAACCACCCAACCACCCAACCACACTCACACACAGATGAAATGGATTTTCGGGTAATACAAATGCTTGATTTGACGCAAAAATCATAGCCCAAGTGTGGGGCATTTGCGAGTTTTCGGGCAGGCATTCCCCAGTGGCCCCAGTGGGGGGCTGACTGATTGAGTTGCCCACTTGAGTGGCGCGTGTTTGTTTTCGAAATTTTCTAGCGCATTGTTTTGCCCAAAAATGTATGCACTGCACATACACACACACGCACACACACACACACACACACATGTAATGCCCGCTCCCAGCAAGGGTGGCTTATTTTTGTATGCTTTGGCATTCCGTCACTAATGCAAAAACATAGCGCACATGACAAAAGGCAATGCAGGCAACACACAGGAAGCACAAGGAAGTAGAGTAGAAGAGGG